CCTCCTGTTCATATTGATCTGTTAATTAGCTTTGTATATTTCTTTCTTGTATTTTTCTCCTATCCTTTCTCTTGTTGTTATTGTCTGTGGTTGTGTTTAGGGTCAACTTTCTATAGTTATCTGCATCCAATAAGGTTTCAGGGTTTGTGAAACCAGTTACAAGAAGAAACTATAATTACTTGCCCATGCTACTATGTATTCTTCCAGTTTTTGGTTATAGAAATCTTTTGCATCATTATATACGTGATTTCAAGTTATTTAAATTTTAGGGGCAGTTTACATATTTGTTGCTAGAGGATACTTTTAAAGACATATATAATATCTGTATTTCTATTATGCTATAAAGAATTGATGTTTTAATGTATAACTTGAAGTTGCACTATAACATTAAATGTATAAGTTTAGGTTGTATCATAAAGAAATTTGTACCCTTATGTTATGGTACAAGTGTACAATTAGAATTTGTACCATCACATAAAGGTACAAGTTCAAATTGTACCATAAAAGAATTTGTACAAAAAAGTATAATTACTATATGAAGTTGTACCATAACGTTAAAGGTACAACTTCAAGTTGTACCATAAAACAAAAATCTATAACACCAATGCTATATATCATTGTAAAATTCCTCTTATAATATTTGCCACCATAATTTAGCCGCTAAAAAGGTCAATTTTCTTGTAGTGTCTTGTCGCTCCTCTATTGCTCTTCCCAAGCCAAAGTATGCCAATTAATTATTATGTCGCCAGCTAAAGGACAAATAAATAAGAAAACAACCATGGTATACAAATCGACATAAGATAGTCTTCAAAAAATGGGGTTAAAGACACATTTGGTCACTGAGATTACTAAATCGGTACATGTTTAGTCACTAAACAAAAAATATCAAATTTGTCACTATAATTACTAAAACATGACACATTTAGTCACTCGTCGTTAGTTGTCGTACAACTCCGTTAAAAGAGTCTGTTATGTGCTGACGTGGCTAACGTGAGCGCCTATTCAGCGCCGTTTTGGGCCGGAAATTATCAAACCCGACCCGCCATGTAATAAACCCAACCTAATCCATTAACCCAACCCGACCCAGAACCAGACCAGAGCCCACTTAAATAATAACTGATCAGTTTCAATTTGTAGACCCGAAAACCCTTTTCCTTCCTCGAGAGCTCTTCCCCTTCGTCATTTTCGATCACACTAATCTGAGAGTAGAGAGCAGGGAGAGATGGAACCATTATCACTACCCCCTTGACCCCTTTGTCCCAGCAACCTCCTTCGAAGTCGCGTTGAAGTCTTCTTCGAAGTCGCGTTGAAGTCTTCTTCAAAGTCGCGTTGAAGTCTTCTTCGAAGTCGCGCGTTTCCCCTATCGTAGTCAGTTTCACCCACCGCAGCAGACAACAAGACCTTCATATTCTCCTTGATTCGCGTTGTACTTCTTCTTTTTCTTCTTCTTAGTCGCGCGCCAGCGTCAGCTTCCTCAATTGCAACAGTGGAAGAAACCCTAAATCGATTCCCCCATCGCGTCAGTTGCTACTCTCTTATCCCCTACTGTAAATGTAAGTTGTTTCTTTGCTCTTTTCTGGTTATAAGGTAGTCTGAAGAGTCTGGAAAAGAGGAAGGGGCAGATGAAAGTGAAGAAGTGGTTGCATGTTTGGTTTTGGGGCTTTCTGTTGGGGTTGTTTTATATTGAAAATTGGACTTTCCTGTTTGTTTCCCAGCTCACCATTCCACGCGAGAACTATGGTAGGGCATGTGCGGGCACCAGATGCTATTCAGCCCCATTATCGTAAGTTTACCTTTGTTTTGACCCTTGTCTTTAGGTAGACAGTAGTGGTTGTATCATAAAGTTCAACAAGGACAGCCTTGTTGTCGTTTGGGAATAGAAAATTCAGGTTTTGTGGGGATGACCAAGACTAGCAGTAGTTGATTGACCTTCTGTCTTTGCTTTTATGAGTTTACTCTCTTATCTTTATGTAAAGAGCATTCTTGGGGTATACCATTTCACAGTTAGACTTTATAATAGATAAAGACAACACTTGATTGTCGTTTTGGAATAGAAAAATGCATATTCTTGTGGGGACGACCAAACACTTTTGTTTCTTTTATTACAAGTGGCCTTTATGGTGACCACATACTTACATTTTGCTATTTTTTTCTTCATAACAGGTGGTTGCAGTGGGGAATTCACTTTTGCAGTGCATGTGTCACTTGAATTAAAGAAGAAGAGTGACAAGCATTTTCTCAATGAGAAGGTAACGGTATTTTGGGACTATGCCGACATTTATGAGCTATCAGTGTTGGATTTGCCTGAAATATACCAGGCATGTGGTGGGAGGGTTAAGGATCCAAAATTCTTTTGGAAATCTCCTTGCCATAGTTCAATGTCAGAGATTACTAATGACGAAGAGTCAAAGACTTTCTAGGCATGTCAACTGTAGCTAATGGAGGTGAAAGAGTGATTGAACTGTATGCTATCTCCAACAATGATATTGAAGATTTCATGAAGGCTGGGTTGGAGGAAGTGATAAAGGGCGTTGAAGTTGAGTGTGAAGTGGATAGGGACTATGATGAGGACGAAGACAACGATTATGTATGTTCTGAAGAAGAAGAAGAAGAAGATCTTAGTGATGGTGACAATGATTAGTTTGAAGAATATGTAAATCAAGATGTGGAACCTGACATGGGTGGCTTTAAAATTGGAAATGGACAGCCTGAAGTAGTTGAAGAAGAAGTTGAGTATGTGGACTCTAATGACCGCAGGAGTATAGTAAGTTCAGATTCAGATGATGGGTACCAAGTTGAGGAGTTTTTGGTTGATCGAGACATGGAGGCACCTACTTTTGTTGCTTCCCAAAAATTCAGTAGCTTTGTAGTTCTGAAAGAAGCAATAAAGCAGCATGCTTTATAGAGAAGAGGCCAATTAAATTCAAGAAGCATGACAAGATCCGTCTGCAAGCAGTGTGTGAATCCCCATGCGACTGGTACATTTGGTCTTCGAAGATGAGTTCAGAAGATTCTGTCCAGATTAAGAAGTGCAAGGTGGTGCACACATCTAATTGTCGAAAGACTTTCAAAGTCAAGTTTGCAACGACAAAGTTTCTAGGGGCAAAACTAGCTAGAAAGGTGGTTGCTGATCTGACCATGAGCAAGGCCTTAGTAAAAAAACATAGTCAAAGAAGACTACAAAGAAGATGTGAGAGATAAGAAGGCTTACCGAATAAAGAAGGCAACCATCGAGCAGGTTCGTGGCAGCTTGAAGGAGCAATACAAGTGCTTGTATCATTATGCCGAGGATTTGAGAAGGAGCAACCAAACTCAAAGGTTATCATTGAGCAGAGAGCTCAATGTTCTAACCAAATGTACGTGTGTTTCGATGCATCCAAGCAAGGGTTCAAGGCCGGATGTAGGAAAGTATTGTGAATCGATGGTTGCTTCTTGAAGCATGAATTTAGAGGGCAACTTCTTTCAGTAGTGGGTTTGGATGCTAATGAGCAGTATTATCCTATTGCGTTTGCTCATGTCGGAGTGGAGAACAAGGAAAATTGGGAGTGGTTTATTGAGCTACTTGCTGTCGATCTGAATATAGAAGACAATCCTAGATGGTTATTCATGTTAGATTAGCAAAAGGTAAACCACATTCAGTTTCCTTTCTTTTGCAATTAGTTAAACGATAAATGCTAACCCATTTTTGTTGTGTTTAGGGTCTCGTTCCAACCCTTGACCAGTTGTTCCCCTACTGTAAGAAGCGTCATTATGCAAGACACTTGTGGATGAATCTGAAGGGGGCATGTGGAGGCTCCAAAATGCTCAAGGACTTGTTTTGGACAGCAGTTAGGGCAACTACTGTGTCTGAGTTTCGACATGTGATTCAATCATTGGTTGAGTATAGCAAACCAGCCTATGATTGGTTGGTCCAAAAGTCCTTCCATTGGACCAAATCACATTATCAGACTTTCACCAATTCCTGGATACACACCAACAATATTGTTGGGAGTTGGAATAATGTGAGAGTTGGAATAATGTGAAACTAGGAGAGAGAGATTTGGGTCCAATCAGCATTTGGGAGGGTATCTGGAGGAATCTGATGGTTTTATACGCCCGACGACAACAGGATGTGGACAAGTGGGTTGTTCCTTATTGTCCAAATATTGAGACAAAGTTTTCGATGTTAACTGGAGAGGCTGTGAAGTGGGTTGCTGTGTCTAATGGGAGACGAATTTTGAAGTACGGTGGCACGACAAGCAGGTTGTTGTGAGTTCGAAAGATTTAGACTTGCACTTGCAGAAAATGGGACTTGACTGGTATTCCTTGCCAGCATGTTATTCAAGCCATTCATACGGCAAACCTGCATGTGCAAGACTATGTTGTTGGTTGCTACACCAAGGAGACTGCTGCAGCGATTTATAGCTACTCCATTTTGCCTACTACTGGTAGGGACAATTGGCCAGCTTCCGAGTTGGGAGGCCAAAGAAACAAAGAAGAAAGGGGCTCGAGGAGGCTGAAAAAACCAAGAAGAAACACAAGAAGGATGGAAGGGACAAAGCAAAACCTAAAAGAAAGCAGTAGAAGTGTGCGAAATGTGGTCTACTAGTGCACAACAAAACCTTCCACGATGAAGCAAGAAAAATTAAGGTACAAGAGAAGAAGAAAGAGAAGGAAGAAGCAAAGAGGAGGCAACAACTTGAACAAGCTTAGAGAAACAGAGTTGCATCATTACAGAAGCTACAACAAAGAGCTTTAAAAGCAGATGCTTCTTCATCGAGTAGTCAGGCCCATGTAGTGCAACTCATGACATATGTATGATTTCATTCTAGTGGATGTTCCTTTTATCTTAATCCATTCCATCCAACATACTAACACCATCTTAATTTGTAGGGGGGTGGACCTGGAAAGTAGGAAGGAGGTCTGAAAGAGAGAGGTGAACCGGGGGGAAGAAAGGGGAAAAGAGCCCGAGCTACTGGTCTTATCGCTTATAGCTTTGGTTCAGGCATCCATCCCAGTCTCCATCTTGAAAGACCTTATTCGGATTGACTCGGTCAGGAGAAAAGAAAAAGAGCCGCAGACTAGCCACGACATCGAGTTCTATAAGAGAAGGCATGGGGGGCTGATCTTCTTTTTTTCTTTTCGCGAGGTTAGCAATTCGTAAGAGCTCATGGGTGTGAAGTTCCACAGAACATAAGACTATCTTTCTATTTTTCTCACACAAAGAACGTGCCCAACTTCTGATTCCCTTTACAGCTTTGGCTTCGAAGTCCCCCCTCTGAAATCTCTGGGAAGAGATTGAGGGCTTTTTAGCCCAAAAGCTCCGCCGGGATGGGGAAAAAATAAGTGAGAAAATCCAGCTTGATACTTTAATAAAGCTAGAAGAAAGGTATTCCGATCTACAAAAAAGGAATGCCTTTCTTCAGGATAAACTTCAGCTTCTAGACAGGGAAAAAGAGATAGCCCCTTAAGATTCTTCTTTTTTATTGGTTTGTTTGGTTGAAGATGATGTTACGCGGCGTTCGGAACCGGCCTTGAAGTGAATGAATTAGAAAGAACGAAGAAGTAAGGAAATGAGACGACTTTCAAGCGCAAACCAATTTCTTTCTTAGTCACCAAGCGGAGCGCACCTTTGGTACTTCAGTAGGGCGAGCTGTTTGATAGTGACTTCTTTCGTTTGATAGGGCGACGAAAGGCTACTTCAATGACAGAAAGAGCCAGAAACCGAAAGGGTCGCCTTCGGAAGCGTTCGCCGCAAAGCGTCTCGTTTCTGCCTGAGTACATGGAGACCAAACTGTGAGTTTCCAAGTCAAGCAAGTCAAGTCTCCCAAATCTCACAGATTGCAATCCGGGCGACACAAGCAAAGCAGCTGCGAAGACTAAATTTATATATAGTAGGGTTAGGTTAGGTCATGGTGAATGGCTCTTTTGAACATGGCAGCTTTTAATGGGTATTGCAAGCCATTGCAGACTTGCTATTTTGCCAATTTATAACTTGACTTGTCGTTTAGCTATCGTAGTGGTTGTTAGGTCATGCATGGCACATGGCTCTTTTGGACAACGAAGCCTTTAAGGCTTTATTTATCACTAACTATCGTATGTAACCAATTGTCCAAGTTGTGAAAAATACAGAACACTACCAGTGACCAAATGTGGTCCTGAGTTGCCTTTTCTAGTGACCAAATGTGACCCTGCATTGTTTTTCGAGGGACCAAATATGGACCAGATTTGTTTTTCGAGTGACAAAATGTGACTAATAATTGCTTTTCCGAGTGACTGACATTAGCCATGAATTGCTATAAAAGTACGAAATGTACTTTTCTTAGCTTTTCAAGTGACAAAACATGCATCTACATTGCAATCTCAGGCACCAAACGTGAAATGTCATTTTTTTAGGGTTACGCAGTCTACAATACAGAGAACCTTCGAGTATAGCTGGTAGGATTCAGCAAAGAGCTGCTTACTTTCCTATCCAAATGCAAAAGAATACAAGAGCAAACACAAAGAAGATGGACAATGTTTTGACATTAGATTTGGCCCCTTTCCCATTTTGCCTATTCTCTTGCTCACAGATTCGACGATGAAAGTTATCACCATAAATTTTATATGCTCGTCAAGTACTGGGTCAAGCCATCTGAAGTAATTACAAGCCCCATTGTCTACAAATCGCACAGACAAGAAAGAAGGGTGAAGGAAAAGGAAATTCCAGTGGTGAAAGTACAGATGAATTGAAGGTGAGGGAAACTTACCCCGTACTTGCTGCACAAGAAGAACCTCCTGCCTGGATTGCCATCAGTCCAGCTGGTCTTCAAAACTGTTGAATCTCCACAAAAGCATAAGTGTCCCGCCATTAGTAGAGAATGGATAAATGAGCACTGCGGAACGAGAAGGAAACGAAGGGATGTGAGCATGAATGAAAGATTGAAAGGCTTCTTGTGAACAGAAAGGAATATAAAGAAGGTAGAGGGTTTGGTTAGGTGGGTTAGGGTTTATTTCTGGGTCGGGTTAGGTTAATGAGCACTGCGGAACGAGAAGGAAACGAAGGGATGTGAGCATGAATGAAAGATTGAAAGGCTTGTTGTGAACAGAAAGGCATATAAAGAAGGTATAGGGTTTGGTTAGGTGGGTTAGGGTTTATTTCTGGGTCAGGTTGGGTTAATGGATTGGGTTGGGTTAATTACGTGGCGGGTTTAGTGACGTGGCGGGTCGTGTTTGAACATTTCCGGCCCAAAACGACACTGACTAGGCGCTCGCGTGAGCCACGTCTGCACATAACGAACTCTTTTAATGGAGTTGGACGGCAACTAACGACGAGTGACTAAATGTGTCTTGTTTTAGTAATTATAGTGAAAAAATTTGGTATTAATTTTTTCTAGTGACTAAAAATGTCTGATTTAGTAATCTCAGTGACCAAATGTGTCTTTAACCCTCAAAAATGCATGTTAAGAATAAAATGAATCTTGTGTCTACAAAACTGTCTTCAAATATTTCATCTACAGTGCAACAAGAGGAGAATACGATTGCGGCAGGGATCAACCCACTGTATTCAATGATTGTCTTCCACAAAATACTTCTTTTCCAAATTACTGCGATTATTCCCCTAAGGAAACGCTAATAAATGGAACGGATTTGTTTATATTGTTTACATATTAAGAAGACAAGCAGTGGCAGACTCAGTATTGTCGGAGAGGTATGTCGCCGATAAAATAAAATAATAATTAGAAAATTACTAAAAAATAATAAAAAATAATAAAATTAAATAAAAATTACTAAAAATGTATGAAATGTCTAGAAATTACTAGAAATTGCTTCTTTTTCAAAATTAAAATTACTAGAAATTACTTCTTTTTCAAAATTAAAATTAAATAGAAATTACTAGAAATGTCTGAAAATTACTAAAAGTTCACAACGAACCACAACGAATTTTCATGTTCTGAAATATCTGTAAATATACATTAATTGCTTATGTTGCGAAGCAAATCCTTTTCGATATATACAACTAAACAATGATTCATCAATTGGTCACTCAACCGATTTCGAAGTTCATTCGTGATTATCTTCATAGCTGAAATATTTCGCAGCTTTCAATTGCAACATGTAAAGTCAACACCAACTTCCAAAAGCAAGTAAAGTTAAAGGATAAAAGAAAAGGGAGATGTCGCAGTGGCTCTCGGCAATTAGAAACTAAAACGGGGTAAGGGTGGGTTTTTTATTTCATTTTTTATTTTCAATAAAGGAAGGGTTAAGGGGTGGCAACGGTGAGTTTCAAAGGACGGGGTTATGTTTATTTTTTCCATTGTTGGGTTGTGGTAGGGATGGCAACCAAACTCATGGCACGGGTACCCGACCGCCTCCAACCCAGTCAACTTAGGGAATCCCTGCGCTGACTGGGTATGGGCGGGTATGTATAAAACCCCAAAAAGGTTGATGGGTATGGGGCGAGTATGGTTTTTTACTCTCCCGCCCCATACCCATACCCAAACCCGCCATCGGAAAAGAATCGATAGAAAAAGAAAGAATCGGAATCGATCTCTATTTCTCAAGCAAACGAAAAGGCAACGAAAGATGAAACATAAATCATGGATCATTTATGCCCTCTCAGGGACTTGCTTAAGATTAAGAAAGAGGTTAATACCATGAAATAAGGCACCAATGATATTATGTTATATACATAAAATATAAGCATTATATTGTAACTTGTCAATCAAATGAAGGGTAATTAAAAGAAAAAGTAAGTGTTAAAATGTAATTGATGGCAACAAAACCGTAATTTCATCCTCTTATGTATTATTTCCATAATTTTGGGGTAGTATCCATATTTGTCACCAAATTCTTTTATTAATGGTGAGTAGTTGATGGGGCTGTATTACCCTTGGGTATCGATAAACCGCGGGTATGGATATGAGTTTGTAAGACCTTCCATTGCATGGGTATGAGGCGGGTATGAGTTTGAATATTTGGAAATGGGGATGAGGTTGGTTTACGCAAACCCGCCCCATTGCCATCCCTAGGTTGTGGTGTGGGTTACTCTAAAACAAGCATACTTATTTGATTTTACTTATTATTGTGTATTACTAATTAAGATAAATAACTTCATAACAAGAAAATCATTCTCGTATAATGAAGGTGTGTCGCTCACAATTATTTAAGGTATGTCGGAAGTCCCGAATTAAAAAAAAATTTGTACAAAAAATATGTAGGTGCTTCACAAAATTTCCCGGCGAGGGTGTGTCGCATGACACACCCATCCCTTTACTAGGTCCACCACTGAAGACAAGAACTATGTTAGGTTTGGCAGGCTAGCTCTTACCGATTATCTAAAATGATCGTGCATGGAATTATTCAGGAGAACCATCCACTACTACAAATCCCACATATGTCGACTAATTGTTGATGCAAACATTGTATTTATCTCTAAACGGATATCTTATGCAATAGATATATAATTCGCCTCAATAGGTTCAATTATGTGCTTCTAAAAGTTGTGATATACTACAAATATATAATTGCCTCAACAGGTTCAACTATGTGCCTCTAAAAGTATGAGATATATTACAATTATACGATTTGCCTCAAAAGATACAATTATGTGCCTCTAAAATTATGAAAGATACTACAAATATATAATTTGCCTCTATAGCTCTTAAGTTTTGCAACTTCAAATGCTTTAATATGAATAATAATTTTTTTTGCCTCTATAGATGTTAGTATTTGCCACTATAGCTATTACCTTTTATATTCATATTTCACTTTTAATTATATCCTAGGGCCTCACTCTTTTATATCACTCTTTTACCAGGCCAAGTCCAACGCACAACCTCAAATTTGGGGGCCTTCATCCCCAAATTTGGATATTGGTCCCCATTTTCCCTTCTTTGGCTCCAATACTTCAATCTCCATATTTGTGGGTCTTAAATTTTCCAGTTTTCCATTTACTTAAAATGTACTTATCGAAGACTTAACATAATTTGTTCTGTTAATTTTTGTATAGGTTGTCATCATTTTTTAATACAAATTTTTCGATAGAATTTTGTTAAATTCCGAGACCGAATTTTTTTTGGCGAACAATTATGGATCTAATTTGGGTTTACACACAACACTTGAAAATGATAAAGCTAAAGGAGTTAACATAATAATAATTCAAATGGTACAATTCATAGGTTACACACAACACTTGCTAATGATAAAGCTTAAATATTACATACAACACTTGAAAAAGATAAAGCTTAAAAATAACACACAAAACTTGAAATGATAAAAAGGAAACACATAACATGTCAATAATCGCCCAGAAGAGAAAAGTAATTCCCGTAATCTCCTCCTCCACTTCCATCTCCACCTCCTGTTTGACTTGCGTTGGATGAATAGTCGGGAATAGAGTTGGGATCATCTTGATCATACCCTATGAGCATGTTTTGATGACTTTTGTAAAACTTCTTCTTTCTTGGTGTCAACTTCGACAAGTCCTTTTCAAGAAGATCAAGGTTGTTCCGAAATAGTGTTGCTTCACTCCCTTTTTTCTCAAGTTCCCACTTTTCTTGATCACGCTTTGATTTTTGTTCATGGAATTCCATCCTTCTTCGCTCATACTCAGCCCTCGAAGCATGTCTATCCTTCAACTCACTTTCATACTCCATCAATTTGAGCACTGTAGCTCTCTGATGACTCAGCAGCCCCCTTTCCTTTCTTCTTAGCCGCCTTCTGTATGCCGCGTCCAGTAGGGCGAGATATGAAGAATGTTGGAGTTTCTCCGAAGAAGGGTGGAGTTTCTCCGACGAATGGTGGAGTTTCTTTGTCTCCTTCTGTGTCATTGAGGTTTGTCTGTGGTGTTGATTGATAACCAAGACCCATGAGAGAACCATCAGAACCTTGACTCATGCGGCTTTGATTTGAAGACGGCATTGTTATCACGATATGAAATTTTTGGCATCTTTTCAAGATCCAACAACAATGACCAAAATTCCAACCCTTTTCTTCGGTCTCACTCAAATATAGTTGTTCTGCCATATGCTCCTATATGTATGAATGAATGAGATGGAAAAGAAGTTATAAAATAGAACACACGTACTAATGAACGAGTTAGAAAATAATAGTGATGGTGATGGAGAATTCATACCACATCCATTTGATTCGTGCCACTTGGTTGATTCCTCTCTGCCCGTTGGATAGCTGAATTCCAACACTTGCAGTATTTGGTGATTGTGCACATTCGATTAGATATGCTTTTGATAGTACGAGATGTGTTTCGATAATTCCATCAAAATTGCGCCGCCAATCTATCCCATAACTTTTTATCCATTTGATTGACGCCCACAACTCCATCTCCTGATATCGTCACCCAAGAACTGCACAAGTTTTTATCTTCCTCCACTTTCCAATTCCCTTTTCTCTTGCTTGTCATTGTTTGGTTTTTAGAGAGACAAAGATGATAGAAAGAATGATGAGACTAACAGAAAATTTCAATTCAGTAAGAATGAATTGTAGAGAGAGAGAGAGAGAGAGAGAGAGAGAGAGAGAGAGAGAGAGAGAGAGGAGAGGATGTCTTAATATATAGAGAATTTATGACCGTTAGGTTATGACTGTTTGGATATGACCGTTAGGTAAGGTGTTAGGTAAGGTTGTTTCAATATGACCGTTAGGTAAGGTTGGTAGGTAGCGCATGTTCGAATATGACCGTTAGGTAAGGTTGGTAGGTAGCACATGTTCTAATATGACCGTTAGGTAAGGTTGGTAGGTAGCATATGTTTGAATATGATCGTTAGGTCAGACAAATTTGAGTATAAATGCAAATCCCCCATTTGCCATCAATTTTATACTTGTCTGAAACTTCCTCCCAGTTCTAAAATAAACACACCCATCATGAGTTCCTCAGATTAATCATCGTCTGGAGGAGAAGAAGAGATAGAAGAGTTGAATATGTTTAACTATCACCGGTTGGCTTTAATCGGGCGGAGGCTTGAGGAAGCTTCATCCTCACGTCGTTGTTCAACAAGTCGCACCTGGATTGATCGTGAATGGGTCTCAGGTCATGACCGTCTCATGCAGGATTACTTCAATCCAAATCCAACATACGATGCCCTCATATTTTGAAGGCATTTTCGTATGCAACTACGACTATTCAATCGCATAATGGGTGTCATTGTGAGGTATGATCCCTCTTTTGCACGAAGGAGTGATGTCGTTGGTCACCTAGGCCTATCGCCGGAGCAAAAGCTTACTAGTGCACTGCGCATGCTAGCTTATGGCTCTCCAGTTGATTAACTTGATGACTACATGTGTATGGGTCAGAACACTGTGCTGGAATTTTTCAGGAAGTTTTGCAGAGCCATTGTCAGGATGTACTCATCGACATACCTCCGTGCACCAACTCCTGCTGATCTAAGGATTCAACGTGGATTCCCTGGTATGATTGGATCAATTGATTGCATGCACTGGGAGTGGAGGAACTGTCCTACTTCTTGGACTGGGTAGTACATGGGGCACAACCGTAAACCAACAATCATTCTCGAGGCAGTGGCTTCGTACAACACCTGGATATGGCATGCTTTCTTCGGCCCGCCTGTGTCGAATAACGACATCAATGTTTTGAAGATGGCTCCAATGTTTGACTGTATCCTCAACGGAACCGCTCCACAAGTACGATTTGAGGTAAACGGTCATACCTATTATCAATGTTATTATTTGGCTGATGGTATTTATCCTTCGTGGTCAACTTTAGTGAAAACATTCAGCAATCCAAGCTCAGAAAAAGAAGCCTTTTTTTCTCGATGTCAAGAAGCACATCGAAAAGACATAAAGCTGGCCTTTGGAATTCTTCAAGCTAGATGGGCAATCGTTCGTGGCCTTGCGAGATCTTGGGATGTTGCCACAATTAATGATATAATGTTGACATGAATTATATTGCACAATATGATAATCAAGGATGAGCAGGTTGATTGACTCACTCCTACTGTCACTCTAGAAAATGGCCAAGTGTAACCACTTCCTAAAGCGTAGTATAGCGGGTTTGGGTTTTAATGTCAACCCGGGTTCTAGATGTGATGACTACTCAGTGAATTCTTATTATCTAGCGGTGAAACTTTAGTGCAGGTTCAATTAAGCAAACAAGCAAAGCAAGCAATTAAACGGTTGTTTCAAGTCGAGAGAGGTCACCCGGATATGGTTCCCCCTAGACTGCAGTCAAGCCAGATTGCAATTACCAAGTTCAGTTTCTATGATAGTTATACTGCGGAAGGTTCTTAAACAGTCTGAAGTCTCAACTAAAGGTCTCCAGACCCTCTCAATCTAAGTCCCCAGCGGGCGACTAACCTCCACCGGAGTAAACAGATTGAAGCCCTAACGAACCAAACCTCCACTACCGAAGCAAATTCGGTACAGAATAGTGAACTGGCTCCTCGACTAAAGTCGCAATTCACTACCTTCAATTAAGGGTGCTCTATTAACCTAGGCAGATATTCTCTTTCTAGGCTAAAGCATAAATAACAGGAATTTGATCAGGATTCAAGTCATTCAATCATTTAAGCCTCAATCGAATATAATCAAATCATAAAATCTGTACTTGGGTTCATACAATCAGACCTAACATACAAATCTAGGGTTCTCCATACCAAGATGAATGGGATAACTACTCCATGGAGAGAGAAGCAAAAGCAGATTCAGATGCGGAAACCATACTATGAAGGATGGATTTCTGCTCCTGGTTGTCGATCGACACTTCTCCAAGCTCAAGCCGGGCTCCAATGGTGATGAAGATCAAGCTAGGGCACTTGGGAACTATGGTTCGTCGCTTTCTCTCTCTAGGAATCGCTCTGTCTCTCTAAAACTCGAAACCCTTGATTTTTAGCCTTCTTTTCCCTTAAGAAGCTGTCTGTCGCGATCCCCGATCTAAATACCCGGTCGGATATTTTGGGTGGCGACCGGGTATGTTCAAAACGCACCGTGGGGTTAAGGGGAAAATCCCGGTCATTGCCAAGAATCCCCGACCGGGGATTTTTGCCTCCTGCCCGGGCCCCTCTCTGTTTCTCAACGACGCCCAAAGCTTCAAATCCACGGCCATGGCCAAATAATACCCGGCCGGGTATTTCTGATCATGGCAGGGTATTTTTGTTCTCCAGCACACTTCAAACCTCACTTGCTCCTTTTGACCCAAATCTCGTTCCTTCGCCTCGATGCCAACGCTAAGCCATGAAATATGACATAAACGCACAACCTAGCATGAAATCGGCTTAAAACACGAGAATCAATGTCTCAAACAGCTAAAGAATAGTGGTAAAAACATGTGTAATTAATGGTCTATCAAACTCCCCCACACTTAACCGTTTGCTTGTCCCCAAGCAAACCTAACTCAAATCAATGCAACTCTCCAGACCTCTATAGCAACAAACAACCCCGATCGTCGGTAGAGGATTTCCTAGATCATATAGCAGCTTACGAGGTCAACTGGTCTTCTAAGACTTTCCGTATCTCTCTCAATGCGAGTACTAGACTCAAGCCAGGATCATGAGAAGAAGTAAAAGTAAGACAGTCAGTTCATGGATAAAGGGACTCATATCATTCACAACCAAGGACTCGTTGTACCGGGGTGCTCTTTTCACTTCATTTCACCGTTGGAACCCCTTTTTCTCACTTTCATTTACATTATTTCTTTTTTTCTTTCATTTGGTGGGGTTCCAACTGCAGTCGTTTGCACGGTCGACCCTTATTAGTCGAGCAAGAGCAATTTCTGTACATCTGGCGCTCGCCAGAGTACTACTTTTAACTCCTTTTCCTCAACTCGTGTGGAGGGTCAATGAAATTAAGGGGGGTCGGAAGCTCTATCCGTGCCCTTAAAAACACATCTTCAAGTAGGCAAACCGTTCAACGGGTGGAAGTTTTACTTGTACTAGAGACGGCTTAGCTTCACCTCGTAGGAGTACCCCACTAAGGATCACTAAAATCTCTTCCAAAACCCGATTTTGTGCAATGAACGGTGCCGCACACGTTGGGCTTACCCCATGGTTAAGATTTAATGATTTTGACATGGAGGACGAACTGCATTTCATTTTCACATGAGCACCCTGTTCGATACACAAGTCCATAACACAATCCACATAGAGTCACCATTACCACATGAATTCAACGGTCTTAGCTCCACTAATTCACAAAATCAACTGGCACAGCAGATTGCTAGATAGGAAAAATCTTATACTTCAACATCCTCCATAGTGCTACACTACCTCCCTAGGTTGCACATTACTATAGAGACTGTCAATTCAAAGCATACTGAGCAGGCAATTTGCAAGGAAACACGTACTTGGAGCCCTCAAATTAAAAAATTTGGACAGAGGACTAGGCTCCAAGCACACAAACAGATCTAACGTAGTCAAAAGAGAAACATCCCCCCCACACTTAAGATCGACATTGCACTCAATGGAGAAGAGGGAAGGATAAGGGGAATGATGTTACCGGTGTGCACGGACTGCATGAGACTGGAAACGGACCAGTCTCAGTGCAGAGGACTGGAGAAGGACTAGTCAGGGACACAACACCGCTAAAGGGAACAAAAGAACTCAAACACAGTACGTTAGGTCCAATGGTCAGCCCAATAGTACATCATCCAAAATCAAAAGAAAGAAAAGAAAATAAACCAACACACAAGACAGTTTGCATTCTGACATAAAGGGAAACAACACAAAATGGGGCTACGAGCACAGCCTATTCGAGCTCGGTGAAGTCAATCTGGTCCATGAGATCGTCGCCCCCCTCTGGTGGTGGTGATGGTGGTCGCGGTGGCGAGTGATCCCACTGGGTGGTCCAGTGGTGCTCCTCTTGTGGATGACAAGTCTGGAGCATGTGCTTTGAGTACTCCATCAATCGGCGGCCACGATCCCGCTCC